TCTCTGCTCAAAGGTCACCTCCTTAGAGAGGTGTCCCAAACCATCCATCCTAAAGCAGCACCTACCCTTCTAGCCCTTTCCCTGCTTTATTGTCCTCTGTAAATCTAAGGTGACTTGGAGTCTTGTAATTCCATTATGCCTTATTTTCTGTCAGTCCCTCAAAGGCAAGGAGGGGCTACTAAAAGGGCCTAAAACCTCACTGTTGCCCTTCCCTTCCTCCTCCATTTCTTCTGTCACTAAATATGGCGCTCTAGCCATGGTCTGACACGTCTGAGGCTCCAGGGGTACGGAGGTAGACATGTTTGTTGAAAATGCTTAGCAGGGAGAGTTGAGCAGGGTCAGGTGGCGTGAAAAGCCTGGGGTCTCAGCTCAAATCCCAGCTGTGTGACTGCCTCCCTCAGTCTCTTCTGCAACATGGAGCTGATGACAGCAACCACATCACAGGATTGGCATGAGAATTCTTTGTTCATTCCTGTGCCTGACAGATTAAAAAAAACTTTAGTGAGAGCTGGCTATTAGCCATCCTAAGAATAGGTTACTGCTGGAACTTAAGAAAAATGAAGACAAAAGTGCTCAAGCCAGCAACCGTTTTGCAAGTAGCTGGTCCTTCTCACAGCATACAAAAGGATTTCACACCTTGTGTGTATCCTAGATCTTCAGACCCCGTCTCCCTTAAAAATCAGGTCAGCCCTGGCTGGTTTGGCTCAATGGATAGAGCATCAGTCTGTGAACTGATAGGTCCCAGGTACAATTCCAACCCAGAGCACATGCCTGGGTTGCAAGCTTGATCCCCAGTGGGGGACGTGCAAGAGGCAGCTGATCAATGATTCTCTCTCATCACTGATGTTTCTATCTCCCTCTCCCTTCCTCTCTAAAATCAATAAAATACATATATTTTTAAATCAGGTCAGCAAACTAACAAGAAGAGAGACTCCACTGGCCCACTCAACCTACAGGGCTGGTGACTGCAGCAATGGGCAGCCTTTGGTCCTTCGAAGCTCTAAGTGAAGATATGGGTGTCCCTGGTGGCAGGATTTTGTTTGTTCACCTTTTACATCAACTTTATTGCAGTATAATATGCACACAATAAAATGCTGTCACCCAGAAAATTGCCTTGTGGCCCTTAGTGGTCAATTCTCACCCCAAAGGTAACCATTGGTATAATTCCTGCCACCATCATTCAGTGTTGCTTGACTTTACAATAACGGAATCATATATTTTCCCCCCTCCATTTTTAATAGCTTTATTAAAGTGGAGCTGTAAAATTAATGTATACAAACAGCACTTCTTGAAAGTATTGAAGTGTTTTAGCGTGTGTCCCTTGAAACTATGAGCACACAAGAATTTCAAAATAACTAATCCATCACCCTGAAATTTCCTACACCTCTGTATTCCACCCCTTCCTTCCCACCCCAACTGCTGATGTGCTTTATGCCACTACAAACTAGTTTTGCATTTTCAAGAATTTTTTTATTAGAATCATCCAGTATGTTCACTTTTGTGTCTGGCTTTTTTCTCGGTGTAATTATTTTGATTCATTCATGTTATTGTATCAATACATCATTCCTTTTTCCCCCCAAGCATCATTTCATAGGGTATTTTCCCAATGATTTTTAGAAAGGGTGGGAGGGCCAAAACCGGTTTGGCTCAGTGGTAGAGCGTTGGTCTGCGGACTGGAAGGTCCCAGGTTTGATTCTGATCAAGGGCATGTACGTTGGTTGCAGGCACATCCCCAGTAGGGGGTGTGCAAGAGGCAGCTGGTCGATGTTCTCTCATCCATCGTTTCTAGCTCTCTCTCTCTCTCTCCCTTCCTCTCTGTAAAAAATCAATAAAATATATTTTTTTAAAAATTGTTTAAAAAATTAAAAAAAAAGGGTGGGAGGGAGGGGGAGAGCCAGACAGAGAGAAACATTGATGTGAGAGAGACACATCCATTGGTTGCTTCCCACATGCGCCCTAACTACCGTGTTTCCCCGAAAATAAGACATCCTCCAAAAATAAGACCTAGCGCATGGAAAGATAAGACATCTCCTGAAAATAAGACCTAGCGCAACTTTGGGAGAAAAAATTAATATAAGACACTGTCTTATTTTCGGGGAAACAGGGTAGGACCAGAGATCAAGCCTGCAACCTGGGTACGTGCCCTTGATCAGAATTGAACCCAGGAACTTCCAGTCTACAGGTTGACACTATCCACACTGAGCTGAACCAGCTAGGGCTCCATTCATTTCTTGATAAACATCAGAGTCCAATCTGGGATCTTTATGGGAAAAGCCACTATAAACATTCTTATGCAGATATTTTGTGAACATACATTTTCATTTCTCTTGGAATTGAAATAGGCATAGGTTGTTGGTCATAGGTAGACAAATAAAAAAACTGCCAGATTATTTTTCCCAAAGTGATTGTACAATTTTTACATTCTCACCAATTGGCTGAAGTTTAACATCAATTTTGTTCCTGTGTCATGGCTTCTGTACTTGTTACCTCTTCCTTAAATGCCTTTCCACTAGTTTTAGCATGGCTGGCTTCAGGTCTCAGCTCAAAGGTCATATTCCAAGGAGACTGTCAAAGATTGAATTGTCTCACACCCAACTTCAAAGCTACGCAACTTTGCATGTTAAATTCACAAGTCCCCAGTACCTCAGCATGTAACATAGTACTTGGAGATAAAGTAAAAATGAGCTCATTGGGCCCCTAATCCAATATAATTTATGTCCTAGAGCAGTGTTTCCCAAACTTCTCTCATGATGAGAATCACCTGGTGAAGTTGTTAAACTACAGATTCTTGAGTCCCAACTAAGAAGTGCTAAACTAGAATTTTGGGGAACATATAGGTAAAATTGTATACTTAACTTAGTGCTCTAAGACAGAGCACTAGAATTTTTGGGAACATATATGTAACTTAATATACAATTTTACCTATATGTTCCCAAAAATTCTAGTTTAGCACTTCTTAGTTGGGATTCAGGAATCTGTAGTTTAACAACTCCACCAGGTGATTTTCATCATGAGAGAAGTTTGGGAAACACTATCCTAGAGGAAAAGATATCCCAGAAAAGGTTTTGTAAAGACACAGTCAGAAGGGCCACACCTGTAAACCAAGTAGAGATCTCAGGAGGAACCAAACCTACCAACACTTTGACCTTGAAATGCTAGCCCCCAGAACTATGAGAAAACAAATTTCTGTTAAGCCACCAGTCTGTGGAATTTTATTATGGGCAGCCCTAACAGACCAATACAGAGGCCTTTCCATCCCCATTTTGCAACAACAACAATAATAAATCCACGTAAGAATCATCAATAAATGCTGAAAGTCTGGTGAAGAACAGGATCATCTCAAAATATCTTCCCATAAGATGCTTGATAGTTACAAAGGGAAAAACAGTTAACTTTTCTGTGGAGTATCTTGGCAGACATCACCTTAATCAAATGATCAAGTTAACATCACCAGCATTGGAACAAATCAATATCATGTGCCTATCATTGTGATACATTGAGAACCCAACTTTCTGCGGTATTCCTGACAAAGTGCATAACCTGAATCTAATCATGAGAGAATGTCAGACAAATCTAAAGTTAGGGACATCTACAAAATAACTCTCCAATACTCTTTAAAAAGTCAAGGTCATGGAAGATGAAGGGCTAAGTGATTGTCTTTCCAGATTAAAGGAAAGTAAAGAGACAGGACAACTAAATGCAATAAGTGATCCTCATTTGGATCCTTGGGAATACCTTAGAGGACATTATTGGGACAATTAGCAAAATTTAAATATGGAAGATGTATTAAAAGAATCATAATATTAAAATAGCTGCTTTTGATAATTGTACAATTATGCATGAGAATGTCCTTGTTCTCAGGAAATACAGAGCATATGGTGATAAAGGGACATGATGTCTGACACGTACTCTAAAATGATTTAGGTCCTAAATTCTAGGAGAAAAACGAAATTCATGTTTTACACACATATATACACAAGAGAAATGCGATAGTGAGAACGTAGCAAAATATAACAATTTGTTATTCTGGTTGAAAAGTATGAGAATTCTTTACTAGTCTTGCAATTTACACATAACGTTGAAATTTTATATATAAAAGTTTTTAAGTGATCACACTATCGCAATGGCCTGTCCCCAATCCTCAGGTACTCTTTAGCTTATTCTTTTTCTCCATTACACTTCTTGTTCAAAGCTATACTGTGTCTTTATTTTTTTATACTGTGTCTTTAATAATACCTATTTTTTTTTTTGTGTGCAAGGCCCTGTCCTGTTCTAAGTGCTTTAATAGGATAAGCTCAGTGAATCCTACCACTACTGTTCTTATCTTACAGATGAGGAATGGAGACACAAGAAAGCTATTAGCTTGCCCAAGGTGACCTACTTGATTTGTCTCACATGGCACAGGACCTCAATTAAGGTACAAACTGTGGTTCGCTGCTCTTTAGCGACTGAGGAGGGAGCCTAGTACATTACTGGAATTTGGTTAAGTATCTGCAGGTTCAGTTAACAAATATGGGGCATTTACTAAGGCGTTGGGGTACAAAGCGGTGACCATAATATTTAAAAATCCATGCAACCCTGGAGGTAAGTCTCAGTCTACCCAATGTTGCAGGAAAGGAAAGTGAGGCTCCAATCTGAAAAAAGAATTACCCAAGATAAAGGGATTATTGGGAGGCCCGGTGTGAATCCCAACCCAGTCCGGGCGGTCCCCAGGAAGAAGCTATTATAAATCCAAAATCAAACCGAATAATCTCGTCAACCAATTAGCATTTATTACGCGCCTCCTGAGTGCAGACCATCCTCGCTCCGCACGGGCGAGGAGAGCGGAGGCGGAGGAGGCTGCGGGGACCCGGGGGCCGCGGCGGGTCGGGTCGCGGGAGTTTGGCGCCGGCGTTTGGAGGCCGGCGGCGCTCGCCTGTGATTGGGCCGCGTCTGCGGCTGCTCCGTCGACCCGGCGAGACACCGCTCGGCTCGCAGCTCGGCCGGCCGGCCTCCGGGGAATGGGCCACCAGGAGCCCCCGCCGGCCCGGGCGCCCGCCGGAGGAGGGGCTTCTTCCGCGAAGAGGTTATGTAAAGGGCTCAGCTGGCGCGAGCACGTGCAGCAGAGCCGCGGCGGCCCGGACGCCGGCGGCCTCTCCCCGCCGCGCGCCGCCGCCGTCGTCTTCGGGGCAGCGCCCGGCTCCGGCGCACGCCCGGCGCACTCCATCGGCTCCCGCGTGGCCCGGTACCGAAGGCAGCCCCGGCCGGGAGCGGACCCTCCTCCCCAGCCCGAGACCCCCGGGGGGAAGCCGGCCGTGCGGAAGTGGAGGGGCTCCGGCCAGGTAAGGGCGGGCGCGGGGTGCGGAGGGAAAGGGAGCGCTAAGGCTGGCGCCGTCCCCGCCGTCTCCGGGGCTTGGGAAGGGCGCTGGGCCCCGGGCCTAGCGCACTCGGGCCGCCGAAGTTTTTTTTAAGCCGACGCCCGCCACCCGCTTGCCCCGGAGACGTGAGTCTGTGTGCGCCGCTCCGCTCGGACTTAATTCAATGGACGGTTTACACGCCGGAGAACACTGGGCGGGAAACGGGGGGAGGGGGGATCCCACGGGGAGGCGCGCAGGAAAAAAAGATTTCTGCAGTCTGAATTGCTTCTAAGGCGATTGTAATAGCGTGTAAAGTCTGTGAGGACTTGTTTCTCCTACACCTAGGCGATACGTTAGCTGGGAAGGTGGTGGGGGTGCTCCTTTCCTCTCCGGTTCCCCTCCGCGCCTCGGCCTGTGGTTTCGTCTTTCCCGCTTTCCCCGCCCCTCCCCGGTCCCAGCAGCCGCGGCGGCTTCCGTCTTAAAGGGGCCGCAGCAGCGGCCGGAGGAGGGAGGTGGAGGAGGAGGAGGTGGGGCGCCTTCTGGCCTGCGCTCCCAGCCTCCCTCCCCGCCTCGGCCTGGTCGTTGAACCGATTCTTTCGCCCACAGGTCCCAAGCCAAGCACCCGCTCCTCCGCGTCCCGGGGCCGGACGGAGGAGGGATGAGGCAGGGGGGGCCCGGGCAGCGCCGTTGCTGCTCCCCCCGCCGCCCGCAGCAGCCATGGAAACGGGGACGGCGGACGGCTCCCGCCGAGGTACACAAAGCCCCGAGAGGAAAAGGCGAAGCCCAGTGCCGCGGGCGCCCGGCGCGAAGCTGAGGCCAGCGGCTGCGGCCCAGGCCATGGATCCGGTGGCGGCCGAGACGCCCGGCGAGGCCTACCTGGCCCGGCGGCGGCGGCCGGAGGAGGGGGGCGGCGGGTCCGCGCAGCCGCGCTACAGCCTGTTGGCCGAGATCGGGCGCGGCAGCTACGGCGTGGTGTACGAGGCGGTGGCCGGGCGCAGCGGGGCCCGGGTGGCGGTCAAGAAGATCCGCTGCGACGCCCCGGAGAACGTGGAGCTGGCGCTGGCCGAGTTCTGGGCCCTGACCAGCCTCAAGCGGCGCCACCAGAACGTGGTGCAGTTTGAGGAGTGCGTCCTGCAGCGCAACGGCCTGGCCCAGCGCATGAGCCACGGCAACAAGAACTCGCAGCTCTACCTGCGCCTGGTGGAGACCTCGCTCAAAGGTAGGAGCCCGGCGGGGCGGGGCGGGGCCCGGACCCGCTGCTGTGGGCGCCTCGGCCAGAAGTGACCCGGGGACCACTCACTAGGTGCTGTCACCCTGGACCCAGACACACCCTCCTCTCCGGGCCCTGCCATGGGGGCCCACGTCTGGGTCTGGGCCTGGGCCGTGGACCTAGAATAGTTAGTTAACTGGTATTTTCATAACAAGCGCTCGCTAAGTTCTAATCATTGTCCTACTAAGTGCTCGGTATGTGCGAGCCATTCTTAGGAAACGACTAGGACTTTTAAGATCAGGCGGGGAGTGGAGAGGGTTGGGCTCAGGATTGGTGGAAGAGGTGTAGAAACCTCCCTCCCCCCTCATTCTCTAGGACCTCTCTTTTCCCCTCCCTGTCTGGATCCACATAGCCTCACAGCCCTCTCCCCCAACTCCACCCCCCAAGCTCTTGCTTCCTAGTCTTCCTTTTCCTGTGAGACCACCAGCCCTCCTTCGTCCCAGGGCAGACAAGCAAGCTGTCGGCTTCCTGGCCAAGTCCTCTGGGGCCAGTGGAATAATAACCCCCCAGGTGGGCCCAGAGCTGTCGCACAATATCTGACATCTTTCTCGCCTACTTTACAATCTTAAACGGCTTCTTAATCCTCTGAGGCTGGCACGGAAGTGGTTTTATTTATAGGAAAGACTGGGCTCAGTGAGGCAGGGGGCTTTGCCCTCCTAGGGAGGGAGTTCACCCCAGGTTCTCAGTGCTCACATGTCTTGCTGGTGCTAATGGAAGTCAAGGGCCTGTTCAGAGAGGAGAGGGCCATGGGCTAGAAGGGTCTGAGGTATAATCCGAGTACCAACTATGTCCTAATGGTCTTCCAGAAGTGACTTTAGGTAATAGTTCTAAAAGTCCTCCCTCTTTCTAAAAATGTTGAAATTAATGACTAGACATGAACAATGATGGTTAATCAGTTTATAAGGGAAGTCACTATATTATTGCTGGTTTCTTTAGAAGCTTTTTCATAGATCAAGTGTTGTGAATCCAGATTTGCCTTGATTCAAGGCCTAGATCCTTTCAAATTGGTGATGGTGCCCTCCATACCCCAGGATGAACCTTTAAGAATGGGAAGGATTTGGGGTGGATGTGGATAGGGCGTTTTGTTTGAAATTTTTGCCTGACTTTAAGATCTTACAAACTCATCCCAAGAGAACTTGTTCCATTTCAAGTCATTGTTTGACTGTGGGTTGAGAGACATGATGAATATCACCAGGGGTCCTTTTTCATAATAGGCTTCGCTTTATATGCCCATCCATCCTGAAAAGCACACCTTTCCCCCAGGGTGAATATATTTATTTTGAAAAGATTTTCCAGTAGATTCTTTTAGCTCACCTATATTTTATAAGCTCTTTACTTTACTCTCAGACCCCTTTCTCTGAAATGAGTGGTCTGGTCATTAGTCTCCGGTTAACCAGAAGCCTTACTGATGTATTCTATACACTGGTGCGATAGATCAGACTCCCAGGTCAAGGGGGCAATTTGCCAACTTTGCTTTTATTATATAGGATGCTTACAATAGAGTAAACTAGGGGGGAAATGTTAAAATCAAGGAAGAAAACGTTTACAGTATTTGTTGAAAAAAAAATCAGCATATACAGTTCAAGCCCTTGTTCAAGAGTCAGTGTACAATTAAAACTTTCTCCACCTGGAGAATTTGTCACAGCTCCAGAGTAAACAGTGGTTGATGCCGTGGGCTTTGGAGTTAAACTCACTTTTACCATGGGTGTCTGAACTGATTGCATGGGACTTGGGACAAGTTGTTTCAAAGCTGTGGGGAGCATGCCTTCATCCCTAAGATGACATAGGGCTGCTGTGCAGCCTGAGACTGTCACTAAGTGTTCCGGATGAGGAGGACTTCATGGCCTCAATAAGTTTAGGCTATATTTTGAATCATCTGCCATCATCCCCTTTAAGATTGGCAGTGTTCTTGTTCAAGTCTCCCAAACTTGTTTGACCGTGAACATACCCTATTTCCAACTTGGCAGAAACACTGGTATTTTCTTTTGCGAACTAAAACAGCTATGGAAATGAAGTATGTTGTTTTAGGTCACTTACTAATGTGTTCTTTCAGTATTTGGAGTGTTGATATAGGAGCTTCTATCATGGGTCAGGTAATGTTCTTAACTCAGAGATGGAGCACTGAAGTTAACATTGCCTCGACTTAATGAAGCTCACATTGAAATTTAGATGTCAAGTGTTAATTTAGAAAGCAGTAAATAGGCTAAAGTGGAGAACAATTTTTTGCTATAAATATTTAAAGTGGAAAACAAATACTCAGATTACTCCCTTTTCCTGGCTTCAGCTTCCAAAGTTTAGCAGTCTTACTCTGACGGCGTGGTGCAGACTTTACTACATCCTGATATTCAGGAATGTTAGAGCTGGAAGGAATCTTAGAGATAATCTGGTTCAGCTGTCATTTAAGTAGAAAATCCTTTGTAACCACCTTTTCTCAGTCTTCAGCAATTTAGGATAATTTTGAAACCGAACAAAAAGGGTTAATCTGCCTTAAGGTCTCAATTGAACCAAATCTGCTTCCAGGCGTACCTCCTCCAATAGGTGTGGTTCCACATCATCACAACCAGGCCAGTCATAATCTATTTGCTGGTGGAAGGTCTTCAGTTGGTTAAAAAAAAACAAAGGAGGGGGGTGAGGGGAGAGACACACACACTATAAAGGAGGTATGCCTGAACTTTATACTTTTAATGAACCTCTCTAGTTATTTAGTTCACTGTATTTTACAAGCTCTTCACTTCATTCTCAGACTGTCTCCTCCTTCACTATGGTTAAGGAAGGCCTGGGCTTGTCCTAGAGGAACTTAATTTGGGAAGTTTGAGGACCTGTAGAAAACTTCAATTCTAATCAGGTCACAAGAGGAAAAAGCAGGCTGGCTCATTAACAGGGGCTTCCTACATATTGTAAAGCATCAACAGGAACGAGAATCAGAAGTTGCTAAAGAAGGTGGGCTTGAAAGGAGGGAGCCTAGGACCACGTGGGTAGGTAGTGAAGAGAGAAGGGGAATCTTTTATTTCATGGTTGGGCCAAAGAGAATAGTGATCCCAGCATTAGGATCAGCTCTCTAGTGAATGCTCAGAGGCATTTCTGTGGTCTGAACAAATTATTTTGCCATATAAATAATCCAGGATCCAAAAGGAGAGGGCAACTTTTAAATTCACTTCTTAGTCTTTTCCAGTCTTGTTTAATAAACTTCTGTGCCTGTCCTTTTCTCTGAACACACACGGAACAAGTCCTACCCAGAGCATTACTTAGATTACAGAACCCGCAGAGTCCATCGTGGTCTTAGGTGTCCACCTGGCCTCTGTTTCACAGGAAAGGAAACTGAAGCCCATAAAAGCACAGGACTTGCCCCAAAGGAGTTAGTGGTGACATTTGGGCGAGCCTCCAGGCTTTTATACACCAGATTAGCAATCCTGTAAATTATTTGGTTAATGAGTTGGTATCTTTATTTAACTTTTAAATACTTTTTACAAAAAGGAGTTAAGGCATCAACGGTTCATTTTTATGTCCTTGTTTCCTTTGCTAAAGCACCTAAAGCTAAATTCACGATTACTGCCATTTGGAAGACAACAGGCAAGCCTTGAGTGTAAAACTCGGAAATTTCTCTTAAAGTGCACATTGATCCTAAGAAAACGAACAAACAAAAATACAGGACAAACTCTCAAGGCTCATAAACCAAATTAGAGAGCTAGGAACCTAGCTTTCCAAACTTGGTAAACAGTAGCTCTGCTTTTCCAGTTATTTGATGTTTGTTGCTCTCGGGATACCTTTAGGTCCATGGTCGGCAAACAGTAGCTCGCGAGACATATGCGGCTCTTTGGCCCCTTCGGTGTGGCTCTTCCACAAAACACCACAGCCTGGATGAGTCTATTTTGAAGAAGTGGTGTTAGGAGAAATTTAAGTTTAAAAAAATTTGGCTCTCAAAAGAAATTTCAATCGTTGTACTGTTGATATTTGGCTCTGTGGACTAATGAGTGTGCCGACCACTGCTTTAGGTAGCTTGACATGGGTGGGAATCTCTGCCCTTGGGAGACAGCCTTGTCTGTGCACTGATGCCCCGTGAGAGCTGTGAGCCAGGCACTGTATTAGTAGAGGCAACACAGTTTCCTCTTTTGGACAGAAGACATATGCCCACATGATCCCAGCGGAAGGTCTGGTGATGGGTATCCCAGAAAACAGTAGAGGTCCCCTATGGGTGTATAGAGGCAAGGGGAAACAGGGAAGGGAGTAGACTTTAGTAAGCTGTGGGGTTGGGGGGTGCAGCGAGGGGAGGGAGACCAGGGTCTTAGCAGTGGATTGGTTGTCAGCCTGCAAACTCCCCCCAGCCTGTTGATTGGGGAAACCTTAGGCTCAGTACCAGGCACCAGTGCCCAGGCCTCTAGAACAGTGGTGGCCAACCTCAAGGAGTGGTCCGTGGACCACTGGCTGGGGACCGCTGCTCTAGAAAGCAACTCTGAATTCTCTCCTGTGCTTGGGGTCTCAGAGTCCAGGGAAGGTGGTCTTTGGCTTTCATGACAGTGACTTTATGACAGTGACATAGATAAAAGGCAGCATTAGGGGCCTTGGAAATTAATGGGATACATACAGTAGAACACTAGTGTTTTCTTGGAGTCAGGAGGTGTTGGTCCCAGTTTCACACTGTTAATAAGAGCTAAAACTTACTGATTGCGGTGTGCCAGGTCTGTTCTAAAGGTTTTACACCTGTTAACTGATTCATTCCTCACCACCACCCTTTGAAGTCAATACTATGATTATCCCTGTTTTACAGGTGAGACAACTGAGGTTTTTAACAGCTGTGTTGCACTCTTGGGACAGGTGGCTTGAGTTCTTAGTGGTTCTGTTCTGGATCGTTAAAATGGGCATAAGCATATTTCACACAGAAACCAATGGCTACTATTTGTTTTTAATTATATATTAGTATTTCTGGCACTGCGGATTTCTGTCGGTGCCTT